GGTCTTAACGTGCTAGTGACCCCCTGCTTTTTCATTGGGTGGGATGCTTGCATCGTCTGCAACAAGTCTTGCTTTTCGTAGCGAGTGTTTCGTGATTTTACGTGTGCTAAGTTTGGTATAGTCCCTCTAGGATTTTTCAGGCGTTATATTATCAGGTATCTCCGACTGCGTTTCCAGCGTGAAATACGGTTCCAGGAACCTCAAGCCGCTCCCAGTAATTGAGGTGTTTTATTCCGTTATGCGGGCAGTGAAGGTTCTATGTACATTTTCTGGCAGCAATTTCACCTGCCTTGAAGGGTGCTGTTGTGTGCAGACTTTATTCCTGCCTAGAAGAACAAGTGACCTGAGAGTGTCGTCATCATGGGCTTGACCTCCATAGTTATGAAGGTTCTCATTATCCACCTGTCATTTTTCTAGCAGATGCGATTGATACAATGTTATCAGAGCATTTTACATTCAAAATCAGGTCAATTTCATCCCAGGATGCAACCCACACAAGTCAATTAACACCCAGGTAAATATTTTCTGATACATGAACCAGGGGACAAATAGGAGTCTTAGGTACACGTTCTAATGTTTCCACCCGTACCAAAGACGAAACCAATGGACCTCAAAATGTGTGATGAGTGCGCCAGCTCCTTACATCTATTGCTGTTTGTTATTTTTTTTTTTCAAACCACGTGGATTGTCCCCCACTGAGGCCAGGGGCGGTGACCCAAAAAAAGCGAAAGAAATCATGATGAAAATGAAAATACTTTCATCATTACAACTCTTTCATCCTCACTCATACATAATTCACTGTCTTTGCAGAGGCGTCTGATACGGACAGTTTTACAAGTCAACACTCCTAATGACAATATCCCAAACCCCTCCTTTAAAGTGCAGGCACAGTACTTACCTTTTTCATGACTCAAGTCCGGGCTAACTGGTTTCCTTTTATATCCCTTCACAAGATTATTTTGCCCTGAGTCAAGACACTCCAACAGACTCCTAAGGTCCCAAAAACCATATCGTCTACATTCCCTATCTAATCGCTCAACTATTGCTCTGGAAGCCAAGCCCCTCGCCACAAATCTCCTTACCCCCTCCTCCAAACCTTTTTCGCAGGACGACCCTACGGACCTTCCATTCCCCTACTATTTATAGTGCTTTCCAAGTCATTCTACTTTGATCCATTCTCTTCTAATTGAACAAACCACCTAAACAATCACCCTCTTCAGCTTCTGACCTAAAACTTTTAGTAACAACACACTCACAACCTATTTTCCTCATCTCAAATTATCTGGGATAAGATGTACACCACTCACTGCCCTGAGGCAGGACATTTCCACTGACTCCAGCCACCCTCTCACTCGCAGACATTTTCAAACACAAGCTTCACACCCACCACTAAAGAGTGTTGGTACCACTATATCTTTCATACATTCCCTTCTTTGCCTCTATGGTTAACGTTTTTTTTTTGTCTCACAGATACCTCAAAGCACCACTCGCTTTTTTTCCTTCCTCAATTCTATGGTTTAAACCACATTCTTCATAACCCATCTGCTGAACAAAAGTCAACTCAACTAAATATCTGAAAAAACATTCACATCTTCCTACTCCTCTCTCCAATGTGATATACCAATCTTCTTCTGTATCTAAATGTTGGATACCTTCATCACCTTACTCTTATCTATGTTCACTTTCAACTTTCTACCTTTACACCACCCTCCCAAACTCATCCACTAAACCTTTGCCACTATTTCTTTAGATTCTCCATAAGCCAGATCATCAGCATTATTATTCTTTCATCTTTCTTTCATGCACCAGCCCTATCCCACCCGAGGTGGGCGGTGGCCACCAAAAGAAAAACAAAGTTTCTCCTTTACATTTAGTTATACATCAGGAAAAGGGTTAGTAGCCCTTTATCCCGGCATTTTACATTGACTCTTACATCACCACACGGCGTTTAAAGGGAAAGGTATTCATGTTCCACTTTCCAAATGGAGATAAATGGAAATAAACCAAGAACAAGACTTTGTACAGAAAAATAGAAGAACAAACCAAGAAAGGGTCTCGTATATATATGCATGTGATAGAGTGTCCTTAATGTACGTAACAGTAGCAGATGTACCTGAAAAACCTATGCATGTTAATGAGACAAAAAAAAAAGACACCAGCAAATCCTACCAACATGTAAAAAATTTAGCGCTTTCCTTTACACTCACTTGGCAGGATGGTTAGTACCTATGGGTGGCTGCTGGGTCTACTCAAACCTACTACCTAGGTTTTTAATATTATTATTATTATTATTATTAATTATTATTATTATTATTATTTTTATTATAATGGATAAGCGATGAACCCTAAGGGTCATTTCAACTCTTAGAAAATGTTATTTTCCAACTACCAGAAAGAGAGAATACCTTTAAGTTTTCATATCAAGAACCTTTGCTTAGCATCAAGCACCATTTCAATGAACAGTATGAATGAGGGGACAATGAGATGCAACAAGTCAAAACTCTCCAAATAACTTGCAATGCATTTTAGAAGAAAGTGGTAAGCGAACAATGTGGACAATAGCTGTAAGAAGTGCATTAAAACTCTGCCATGACAATAACTACTGCATTACGTAAGGGTCCCTCGTTAATTACTCTTTTCTGGATAAAACATAAGCTAAAACTACATCATCTAAAAGGGAACGGCTTCAGTAGCCATCAGTATTATTCAGATGCAGTCCTTGAGTATAAATGAAGATGCTCATGGGTAGAGGGAGGTGCATGTCCATAGCAGATACCCTTCCTTCAGGAGGAAGTAGAGTGATTGTTGCACCTCTACAGAAGGAGCCGAGGATGTTTCTGTCCTGACAAGACTAAACTGAATAAATGATGGTGATTTTTTTCTTTTCTTTTTTTTGGCCATCCCTACCTTGTTAGGAGATGGACAGTGACCTTAAAAACAAAAAAAAATGGGGGTAGACATTTGCAAGGTTACCTTAATTTGAAGGGGAAAGATTTATGTAAAGTATTTGCATGTTAGCAAATTTATTTTGTGACCGGTGCGAAAATACCCAGCACATGATGGCACTTTAGAGGAAGCTAGGTAAGAGCTCTGTTACTTCTTAAAGCAGATACCTGCTATATAAACTGGTAAAGGAGTATATCAAAAACAGCTCAACAGCCACCAGAAGTTAACTTGTCAAACTTCTTGAGCTATTTACCTATTGACCCCTGTGCAAGACAAACAAATGTCACTCGGAGAATGGGTACCCAAACTGTTGCAAGTTCCTGGAAATATATTCTGTGCACTCACTAAATGATCGCTTCCATGGACAGTTTGAATAAGGAAAGATGACCATTCCACTTGCACATATTAAGGTAAGAATGTCTAAGAACTGTAACAGATCTGTTGTCATCAGTCTGTAATTTTTATAGGTTATCCCTGAGTAGCATCATTTAATCTGCACACTCACATGCCCATCATGCTGGTATGGAAAGTGACCCATCCAGGTTATCTGGTTGACTACATGATATATAAAAGCACTATTATTGGCATTGAAGTGTAAAAAATTTGACAGTTAATGCGGCATTCATACCATATGAAGAGGTAAGGAATCCAGTGAGGGGTCTTATGATTACTGTGAAATGAAGGGTGAGAATAGTTATCAAGAACATGGAATCTGAAATAATACTACTGTATTGATATTGTACTACGATCATGAGGAATGCTGGGCTTGTTACAATACCCTTGTGAGTCAGGAATAAACCTCATGTCAACAGTCAGGGATTGTGTAGAGGAATCATGACCCAATATTTTCAAAACATTCCTCACCCAATAGTACAACAGAAGGCTCAATCTAGATCATTTAATAAAAAAAAAACAAGTGAGTGACCAACAGAGGAGCAGGTATAGACTCAGCCACACCAAAAATGGTGCCTGCTTTCTGAATGCTTGTACTTGGCTTTAGCAAATACATCATCCTTCTAGACGTGAAGAGTGATGAAAGCACTAATTCAACTGATTCAGCCAGGGCCTGCACTGAGCTTTTTTTTTTTCTTTTATTTTCCATACCCTTTCCCAAAGAAGTGCTGCCCACCGAGGGCCACAGCCCCACAGGCAAGCGGAATAAGGAGGAATACAGATCACCAGGCCTGGGAAACACACAGAGCAGAGCCTTAACTTAGACTCCTTATGTTCATGACCCACCCCGAGGGAGCCAGTCTATCCAGCACCGGGACCACAACAATTAGACCATAATCCTCACATTTACATAAAGGGAACTAACATCTGGAGATTTTGTCTGGTACAGAATGGCTCAATAAAATTTTATTTACGATATTACAGATCTATTTTGAGATGTATTTCAGAATTTATTTTTTACATAAGTGTTTATCAATTGCATTTCTGATTTTGTATATGCCATTCACTTTAATTATATGTGGTGGGCTCCATATTCTATTAAGGATGAATTGTGGCAAGAGTCGTTGAATAGTTTTTAAGGATGTAAAAAAATTATGTAGTCATTTACTTTATCATATACCTATCATTGCAGTATTTTATATGACCATTTGGTTCTGGTGTGATTGGGTTCATATTTGTTGCTGGAATTTACCTACAAATAATAATTATTCTTATAATTCCTGCCATTGGTACTCTATATTATTGTTCAAAATATTTGGATAAAATACAGTTTTAAATGATGAATGGTAACAAAATAAATATACTTACAATGAAGTGTCTAATCACATTAGCTAACAAAAATTTACCTACAATTCTCACATATTTAACCATAATATCTTTTAATAATCGACATTAACAAATTTCACATTTCTTTATAGTATATCGAGTTTAAAAATCTCACTCCAGCCATCATTCAGCTATCCTTTGCTTCGCTAGTAATGCAACCTATGCTCAATGAGAAGCGATTACCTGCTGACATCAGCACTGTGATTTTGTCTTTAGGGCTTTTCATGAGGTTTTAGATAGTAAATTCTTACCTTCCTGTATTGCTTGGAGACAAATCAAAATATCAATATGCTACCCCTTTTCTCCTTACCCCCTCCTTCACCAGCCGCACTTGTATCTAACCCTGCTAAAGTCTCAGAAACTGATGGCAGCTGAACTTTTTGTATTCCTAGCACTTTACAGTTGGCTTCCATTAACAAGGTCTCCAGGTCAAATTTCTTTGTGTTAAATTTAGGTACAAGATCTGCAAAGAGGTCCAATTCTGAATCATGCTTTTTATTAACTTTAATAGCCAAGACATCAAATTCCTCTCCAAGATTTTGAGTTCTCTTGGCCTGCACATTATGAGTGATTTCATTATTCTTTAAACTGTTAAGTTTCATACTTGAACTTGATTTCTTATTAGCTGAGCAAGACCCCTTAGTATCATCTTGATTACTATCACTACTATACACTGAAGATGCCTTTTCTGAATGTGAATTAATCTGCATTTTCTTTTCATTGTTTTAATGAACAAGCAGAGGCTGTTACTGGACATTTTACTCGCTACATCCACCTCCCATTTATGCTCCATTTTTGGTAAATCATCTTCATCTTCATTGAGAGAGAGCAAGACATTAGAGAAGTGCTCCACAGGAGCATCTTGCATCTCTTCCCAATCTGATGAACCATGCATTCAGCATCACGCCTCCATCCCCTGGATGTTTCCCAATGCAATATTAGCTATATTACCACTGTCTTCTCCATCTGGTGAACTTCTCTCAGGAATCTGTGTCAAAACTATGCTATCAATTGACAGGTTATCTAAAGAATTTGCATCCAATTTGACTTCACTGTTGATAGGTTCCGATGGCAAAGATATGGATCGTGGAGGTGGTGGCGGCGTGGTTCTGTTAATAAATATAATTATGATTTAATTTCAACCATGACATACCATATAAATTTTGTACAATATAAAAAGTAATTAACTTTTAATTTAAAACTGAAACAAGTATAATTTTAGGTAGAGTAACTGAGGATTACATAAAATTTAAAGAATTATAACTTACCATCCTGAAGGTGCTGAAATGGATGTAGTAAAGTTGAGTTTGTTAAACTTTACTGTAACCTTAGCTCTGCAGAGCCTTAATCTGATGAGGTAACACTATTTAGTCAATGCGTTAAACTGCTGCATGCCTGAAAATTGTACAATACATTGGTTTTGTTTTTGCATCAAGAGCTTATAGCATTATCTTCTCTGTCTTAAACCTTTATGTATGCACTGTTGTAGCCAATTACAGGAGCCTTCATCCAAACTTCAAAACTTCCGACCACATCATCAATTCCCAAATGCTTTCTCTATACCTTTCTAATCAGAAATCAGGAGGAGAAAAAAAAGTAACTTAAATCTAGGACTCTCCCTTGCTTGTCTAGACACTGCTTAGCAATGCCTAAGCAACAAAATAAAGTCGCAAATATTACACTAAAATTATGAAATGACTTGTGAGGTGTTTAAAATCTGTAGTGGGAGGGAAGCAGGGTAGGTGTCATCCTAGGTAAGGATGGAGGGAGGAGGTTTTATGTGCAAAGGGAGGTTTTATGTGCAAAGGGCTTAGACATACAGCAGGTATGTGTGTGAACATGTTAGACAGGAGTGGAGACAAATGGTTTCTGGGACTTGTCGAGCTATTGAAGTGTGAGCAGGGTTATATTTTGTAAAGGGATTCAGAGAAACCGGTTAGCCGGATTTGAGTCCTGATGGTGGAAAGTCAAGTGCCTGCTCTCTAATGGAGAGGGTTGGGATATTTACTGTTTAGAGTGACATCTAAACTGTTGTACCTTCATGCCTCTGGCAAGACAATGATAGTGTGAATGATGGTGAAAGTGTTTCTTTTTTGGGTTCCCCTGGCCACAGTGGGAGACAGCCAGCATGTTAAAAAAAAAATTATGAAATGGAAATAAAATTGAAAAAAAGTAAATTTTGGGATATCAATTGAAAATTTAGGCTATGCGATGTAGGTACTGCCAATGTTTATGATACTAAGAGACACACTGATAAACTCTTGCAGCTTTATTGTGAAAGTGATACACTCAAAATAATAAATGACCACAAAATCAAGGTGTGTAAAGGTAGAAAGTTGAAAGTAAACATAGATAAGAGTAAGGTGACGAGGGTATCAAATGATTTAGATAAAGAAAAACTGGATATCACATTGGAGAGAGGTAGTATGGAAGAAGTGAATGTTTTCAGATATTTTGGAGTTTACTTGTCAGCGGATGGGTTTATGAAGGATGAGTTGAGGTATCTGTGGAGACAAAAAACTTTATCCACTGGGAGGCAAAGAAGAAAAGTCGAAAGTATAGTGGTACCAGCACCTTTTTATGGTTTCGTGCAAGCTTCGGGCCTTGCAAAATTGCCATGCATGCGAGGGGAGTGGCGGTTGGAGCGCACAGTTGCAGATGACCTGTTAAGGCAATCGTGTGGTGTAATATTATGCAGCAGAGAATTCGGTGTTTGGAAATTAGGTAGGAAGTAGGTTAATTAATAGTATTACGTCAGAGGGCTGAAGAGGGGTTGTTGAGTGGTTTGCGTCATTTAGAGAGAATGGATCAAAGTAGAAATGACTTGGAAAAGCATTATAAATCTTGTAGGGGATGGAACAGGGACCGGGGTAGGGGTTGTCACGAAAAGGTTGGAGGGAGGGGGTTTAAAGGAGGGTTTTGTGGGCGAGGGGTTTGCACCTTACAGCCAAATGTGTGAGCGTGTTAGATAGGTGTGAATGGAAAAGATGGCTTTTGGGACTGACATGCTGTTGGAGTGTGAGCAGGGCATATTAGTGAAGGGAGTCAGGGGGAATATGGAGTATTTTTATCTAGCCAGAAATTGAGTATGCAAATGGGAGTACAATGCTGCACTTTAATGGATGGGGTTTGGGATTATGGGCAGTTTGAAGGGGTATTAATTTATACTTTTTTTTTTCTCACAAAGCTCGGGCATCTCCACATAGAGGCAGGCGCGGACCCAAAAAAAAGAAAGTAAATCCCTAAAAAAGAAAATACATTCCATCATCATTCAACCACTTTCACTCACTCATAAATGATCACTGTCTTTTGCAAAGCGGGCCAGATACAACCGTTTTGAAGCATATAAAAGATATTTAAACATATAACTCCAACACTGCAATATCCCCAAATCCCTCCTTTAAAGTTGCAGGCATTGTGCTTCCATTTCCAGAACTCAAGACCGGACTATATTAAATAACCATGTTTCCCTGAATCCCTTCATTAACTATTACCCCATCACACTCCAACAGCTCATCAGGTCCCACAAAAACACCCATTTGTCTCCATTCACTCCTATATAACCACGCTCAGACACGCTTGCTGGAGGTCAAGCCCTCGCCCTCGAACACTCTTTAGCACCTTCCCTCCAACCTTTTCGAAGTTGACTTCCTTACCACCGCTCCTTCTCCCCTACAGATTTTTACGATCTCCATGTCAGTTACTTTGATCCCTTTCTTCTTTATGACCAAACCACCTCAACAACCCTCTTCAGCCCTCCCCTGACTAATACTTTTATTAACTCCACATTTCTCCTAATTTCCACACTCGAATTCTCTGCATAATATTTTACACCAACTTGGCCATTAGAACACGGACATCTCTCCTGCCTCCAACCACCACATCACTGGCAGCACTGAAAACACAAGTCCTGGACTCCATATAAGAGTGTTCGGTTACCACTTTACTTTAATAATTTCCCTCTCCAATAGATAATGTATATTTGTCTCCACATACACCTCCAACGCACCACTCACCTTTTTTCTCTTTCATCAAGTTATGGTTAACATCCTCATTCCTTCATAAACCCATCCACTGACACAGTCAAACTCCCAAGTATCTGAAAACATTCACTTCTTCAATACTCCTCTCTCCAATTGTGTAATATCCAATTTTTCTTTCATCTAAATTGTTTTGATCACTCATCAACTTACCTCTTATCTATGGTCACTTTCAACTTTCTACCTTTACACACCATCCATACTCGTCCACTAACCTTTGCAACTTTTTTAGAATCTCCCGTTAAGCCACAGGATCATCTGCAAAAGAACGGTGTCAACTCTCATTTTCTTGATTCACCATAATTTAATCCCACCCCTCTCCCCAACAACTAGCTTTTATCTCTTCACAAACCCAATCTTTTACAGATATTATACAACCATGGTGACATCTTCTCAACCATGGTTAAGCAACCTAATTTATACAGGGTACTGTTTTCTACCTAGAGCCGTTATCTCAAGTTCAGGTAGCACTCAAGTGAATATTTATTATTAGACGAGTACTGCTTTGTGTATCTGTTAGTACCTATTTGCTGTATATTGCTTCTTTTGAATACTCGGCTTTCCTTTACCTCTCTTTCATGTGCGCTGGTTCTAATTGCCATTTTGGCTAGGTTTCTCCCAGAAATTACTTTTGCGAGTTTGTACGGTGACTCTGTTGGGACTGCTTGGGTTTATCGGGTGTAGTAAATGCGCAGTAAATAGCGGTTTGAAGAATGGAGGAATGAATACTTGAGTAGAGAGGTGGTGGTGAGAGTTGGCAGAGAGTATGCTGCGGGGGTCACAAAGTTCGTTGGCATGCTGGTAAATGTATGGCGCTGGGGCGGGAGAGTGAGCATCGTTGGGAAGGTCGGTAGGCGCTCACTTACATCATATATTACAAGCATGTGGCGTGGTGTCGTGGGTGGGAGGGGGGTGGCGGGCAGTGCGAATAGCGGGGTGTTAAAGGAGGGACTGTTGATGGCTGAGGGGAGTCGTTTCGAGGTTGTGGTGCGAGAAGTGGTACTCGCATTTACTGTTGTATTGTTCTGTCGGAGAGATGATGGTATATGTAATCGGATGAGCGAAGGGGGTATGTGGTTTGTGCGCGGGGTGGTTATGTTGTGGTTGGGATTGTAGACTGGGGTGTGTCATACGGGGGGGGCGCTGGCGGATGCGACCAAAGGTGGGGGGAGGGTTATTTGGGGCCTAGCGTATGGCAGGGTCATGGTCGAGAGCGAGGACTAATCTAAGTAGAGAAGGGGCACAGCGCTGGAATGGGGGATGATGGCAGACGGTGCGGGGTAGGGGGGAGGGGATGGGGGCTCTATTTCATGTACTAGTATCATGGGGGTAGGGATTGGCTAGGACGTGTGGTGTGGGCCTGAAGGGTGACGATAGTGGGTGGATTAGGGGGTTCAAGGTGTGGCCGGCTGTATTGCGGTTTGGTGAACAGTTGTTGGAGTGAGATATGGATTGTATAATGTATGTTGAGGGGGGGGGGTGGCGATGGTGATGCGGTAAATTCGTGCTATGTTTGGGGAATGGGTGCGTTGGGGAGTGGAGGGTGGGACATTGGGGAGATAGTGGGTGGCGTGGTGGGCTGGATTTGGAGAATGGCTTCATTGGTTGGTTTGGGTTAGGTATTCAGGGGGGGACTGATGTGTAGAGGAAATGCTCGAGAGGCGGCGGGGGTGAGGCCGGATTGTGACC